CTATTAATACATAATATACTTTACAATTAGGTAATTAAATTTGATACAAAAATCCTTGAAAATCTCTGTACATCCCATGATGTGATGCACCACCCGAGCGCATAACCCATTTGAACAAGGTAGCAGGAATCCCTTACACTTAGTATGTAACAGAAATAATGGATAGTAAATACAGGCATGGTTTTAAAAAAAAAGAGCTGTGTAAATATGACCTTCAAATGTTCTATAAAGTATACTTTGGGTTAATTACGTGTGCTATAAAAATCCTTGAAAATCTCATTGCATCACAATTTGTGATTTAAGATATTTGAAAAGACGTCCATTGTATTTAAGTACAGGTTGAAAAAAGCCTAGGACATGGCCTTGTCAGTTTCCTGTTAGAGAGTTATAAAAATGTCTGTATAGGATGGCAATGAAAGGTAAGGTGTATGAAGTAACTGTATCCAATTATAGAACAAAAAAATCGTTGTGTATGTATGCACTAAAATGAAAGTGTCATGTGTTTCATGAAGTATACCTTTAGGCAATTAAACATAGTATAAAAACCTTGAAAAATCTACCTAGTTTCTTTCCATCTACTGAAAGTGAAAGAGCAAACACATGCTATGAACAACAGCCAGAGTTCCTGAAGGATGAAACGTCTATCCAACGACGGTGAAGCTGGGTTAAGTGTATGTCTAATAGTGTTAACAAATAACTATATTAATTTGGTGTACTTGAATCAATAATTCTACATTTATGTCCTGTTCCTTTCCTTAACAGATATCTAATAAACGTCCCAGAGCTGAGGCATTTAATATCATCAAAACTTCGTCGAGACATGTTAAAAAATATAATGCCATGTCTATGATGTTTAATGTAGTATTCAAAGAAGACTCATTCGAACAACCTCTCACGAACCATGCATTTAATGATAGTGTACAGAACATACTGGATGAGACAACACATCATTCGAAATCCAAAGATGAAGTCAGAATCAGTATATTCTCTACACAGTTAGATAAACCAATTAGCACATGTTTAAAAGACGAGAATGTGTTTTCACCCAGCATGATACTGTTAAATATCGAAAAGGTTGATCTGAGTAAGAAATGGTTAACAGTAGATGAATCGTTTAAAACTGAAATCACAACTTTACAAATGCCTGTAGGTAGTGGTAGTCGTAAGTTCACTAATATTAAGGTTGGTCATTGGAAAAAACAGTCAGTGCTAACAATAAAGAATAGCAATAATCTCTGGTACGCCAATGCTATTATTCTAGGTTTGATATATCTCAGAAAGTCATCTAATTATAAATATATTAGCGATCAACGAAAATCACTACTTACGTGCATGACTAGTGAACTCCACGATTCATGTAATGTTCCATTTAGTCCTTGTAGAATAGAAGAGATAACGATATTTGAGCATCACCTAAAATTTCAAATACACATTGTGTCTTCAGATAAATTTAATAAAGGTTTCTACAAAGGACCGTCATATCCCGAAAAAAATTACTTTGGTTTCATGACAACCATTTCGATGTTATAATATCAATGAAGGGATTTTTTGGTGTCCATTATTACGGTTCTGATTGTGGCAAGGGGTTTAGTAACTTAAATAAACATTATTGTGTGAGTTTTTGTATTGTTCGTCACAGTAATGACTGTATAATCGATTAACCCCTCAGCTGTGCAGATTGTAACAGATTTTGTAAATCACTAGACTGTTACAACAGACACATAACTAAAAACAGAAAACAGATAGTGTTATTGTGTGACAATTTTTTTTTCAAGATAAAACATATTTCATTATCATCGACAGGACAAAATGATGTACTGCATTTCACAGATGTGGCATACTTAGTTTAGTTTACTCTGCTCTTCACTTAATTTCCTGTTTCTCAAGCTAAGCCCATATTCCTTGGCCACGAGCGGGGTGAAGGAGGATTGCTTAATCTTCGAGCACCCTTAATTAGTAATTATTTCTTCGGAAATAATTATTTTTTAAATCAAAATAACTGTCAGAAACGAACGAACGAACACACACTGACTTGAAGACGAAAGGCGGAAGACTTTTGAAACGTCATCCTCTACATTTGTAGGTTTCTACAACAGGCAGTTGCTGTCCATTTCAAACTTAGATTCATTATGAATACTCTGCCTGAACAACCTATCAAAGATTAACAGTTCATGAGTTAAGAGTCTTCTGCGCACCAGCAGTGCAACAAATACCTATATAGAATGTTAAATATGAATTCGCCACAACGGGGGCTTCGGTTTAATACTTTTATGAATGAGAATTTAAGGCATCTTTAAAGTTTGGTCCTACTAGTTTCAAAACTGTGGAAGGAGTTATCGAACAAATAATTTCAGAAACACAACATGAATTAATATATGTTTACCAAAACAAATGAAATTAGATTGATTCTGCTTCTAGCATTATTAAAATAAGCTACTAAAATTAGCTGATTATATTCGTAACATTGTGAAGACAAACTACCAAAGTTGGCTGAAACTATTCCCAGTTTTTGGAAATAAATTATCAAAGTTGACTGAGTCTATTCTTAACAATGGTGGATACTATTTATATATTGATCTTTAGAAATGCTAACCATACTGATCGAGTTATTTGAAGCATATTCTAAAGATCAATTATCCCATTCCATCAATTAATTTTTGATTTTTTGGGAAGTGGGCACATGCATGCTTCGAGAGTAACGTAGTTCCTCTGACGTTTGTAAACGTGTAGTGAGCTTAATATTTATATTCTGCAACATTATTTTGCATAGCATCAATTATCTCTATAATCTGAGGCGTAGCTAAGAAACTGATTACTACTCAGATTAATACGATTCGTGATTGGTCGGTGAGTACTGTGTGGATCAAACACAACGAAATGGACAGGCATGTGGCATTCCAATAGTCTACAAGTACACAGCTAGCATTGCTTCTATTATCCTCCACGCTTTTTCGTGAAGAAGAGTTGAAAACCAGATAAAGAAAATCCAGAATGCATGAGCTATGTAGAATATTCAATCTAAATTTAACTTATCATCTCCAGAAAAGCTTCTGTTTATTAATTTTATGGTCTAAATAACCAGTCACCATGTTTCTTCAAATGTTATCTCTTTCACTTCATTTCTTTCTATGTCTCCGCAGAGAAACATACTGTTTTTGTATTATTTCTTCTTCTTTCTATCTTCTTTTCCAAACACATTTCAATCCACTGCTACTCCTTTATTTCTCTGTGAATTGACTTGAAACTTGGTAGGGTTATATTTTAGTCTAATACGCCTAGTCCAATACGCTTAGACTCCTTTCTAATTTTTTATTTAGACCTTCTTAAGGATTTTATGAGATCAAAAGTCAATCAACTCCAAAATGTATATTTTGGGCTCCTGTGCAGTCATATTTACAGCAATCAAGATGAAAATTGGCGTACATATAAATTTTCATGCGCCCAATACATTGATGTACAGAAAAGGGTTGATTTACCCATTTTGAGTCTTTTTGAAGGGGAGGAGGTCAGAGCTTACAAAAAAGCATAATTTTTGGGGTTTTGTTCAATTACTCAGTCTTAATTGGACCGTTTTTCATGGTATTTGATTCCAAAATGCTTTTCTACAGGTCCCACACATTTATAAATAAAAGTGGTGGATTTGCCCTTTTTTTTATAATTATAGGGGGGTCAAGATGCCAAAAAATAAGCACAATTTTAGGGGTTTTTGACACTTACTCCGCCGTGTTTCGTTCACTTTTCATGGGACTTGGGACAAAGATACTTTTTAATAGTCCCAAAGAAAGAGATAGACAAATTTGGAATTTTTATATTTTGTTAACTTTTTCAGCAGTAAAGCACAATCTGGGGTTTTCGTAAACTGTTCATGCCTATTTCAACCAACTTATATGGGACTTGGTACAAATATACCTTTTTGCAGGTCTCAAGCAGCGATATAGAAAGCTTTCAATATTTCTAGTGTCAAAATTGGTCATGTTGGGATTGCGTGACGGAGACACATTGCATTCGCCCACGAACGTTGGCCTCTTTAATTTCGTTTCATTTGATAGCGAATAAAGATAGTTTACTGTTCACAATAATGGAATCTTTCACTTCACCAGTTATTTTTCTCAAACTTTAGTTATTATACCCAATATTTGCTGATGAAAAATGATTATGACACAAGTCGAAGTCAATGAAACGCGAATATTGATCGAAAACATAGAATACATCGATTTTATTATTCAATTGTCTTTCCAGAAGTTGCCATTGAATTTTCAAACGTGTAAATCATTTGAAAACTACAGAAGTAACAGATTACTTGCCTATCCTACAAAACCATGGTTTGTATGTACGTTTTTCTTATGGCAAAACCACATCGGGCTATCTGCTGTGTCCACTGAGGGGAATCGAACCCCCCTCCCCCGATTTTAACGTTGTAAATCCGTAGACTTACCGCTGTCCCAGATATCTTCCAGCTTGTAGAAACAGTACTAACTAGGTTTTTACAAATCATACTTAACCTACGATAATATTAACGAGATAGTTTTAACTGAAAGAGGACAAATTCAGAAGAGTGAAATAATGACACGAGAAGAAAATAGAAATGTGTAAAAAACGTTCATCTAATTATGTGGAACATATTCTGTTAACAACAATACAACAATAGAAATGGGTAAAAAAACGTTCACCCAATTTTGTGGAACATATTAAGTTAACAATAATACAACAAGAATATCAACTACGTAAAACTGCCTGTGGGTCAGCGCTAAGTTCCTCGACTTAAAGCGCCAGAATCCGAGGTTAAATTCCACCCGGTGGCCAAAGCGCAGATATGCATTGTGTAGCTTTGCATTAAAAAATCGTCCCAACTCAAAACTTTCCAGTTTTTTTTTCGGTTTCTAATTGTGTTCCTATGACAACAACACCTCTAGACACACTCCCACTGCAATAAACCTAATGTTTTATAAAACTGGTTAAGAAAGTGAAATTCAATACTTAAAAGAGTAAATAACACCTGATTATAAGTAACAAATAATTCTTTATTCACACAACAAGCATCAAACAGAAATAGAAGTAGAGAATATAAAACTTCTGTGGCGAGAATGTTGAAAACAAGATCTTGAAGGCTTTAAATCTAAACAAGGTTAAAAAACAACATGGTATTATATTCTAGTTTAATTTCCTTCAATTAATGCATAATAACTATAAATGAAAAACGCACTGTGGGGTTACTTATACGTATGGCAATTTAATCATTACAATTAAGTCTGCGGCACTTAACACTGAACTCATTGATAATATAATAGACGTAATATCAGGGCTTGAGTTGAAGGGGAGCAAACCGGAGCACCGTTCCTGTTCTGAGAAATTTTTGTGAAAACGCTCCTGTTGTTAGAAATTTTTATGAAAACGTTCCTGTTGTAGAATGTCCAAGGACATACATAAAGTTAAAGATAAGTTATCACAATCTTACCAATTTATATCGTTTATGTAGGCCTACTTCATTATAGGCCTACTTTGCGACATGTCATTCTTCTTCATTTGAGTTACTTTTCTGTGTCAACATACATTGTGACGTCATCAAATAATCGAAATAAGAGACTGTCGTTGCTTTTATGCACACATTTCGAAACGTCAAAAGCCTTTGGAAAGGTATGTATTATAAACAAATCCAGGATACAATGTATGCAAAAATTCAATTTATATAGCATAAGTTATGGCGGCCCCGGACCCCTGCCTCATAGGGGCTGTGAAACTGAGTTCCACTTGATAACTTTGCACAACTCAAGCCCTGTCTTATATATACATATATATATGCTATGCTCTTTATTCAATTCCGAGAAAAATAATAACAATTAAGTATACTACGAATCATGAGAACTTGGGGTTCAGAACATTAATAAGGTACGAGTTTTTCCACCACAAGTGGGAACCAAAAACTTCTCTTCAAACTCTGAAGAATATTTATTTAAAATATTCAATGAGTCGTACTCAGTCTTTGTGTTAAGCTTTTGTTTTGGTCTTAACGAGAGAAAAAAATCAGACATCTTAAATTAGCATCCTTAACGATAATTCAAACGATATTTTCAGACAGTGCCTATCTAAATGTAGTAACCTTCAAAGAGTATTGAAACAACGTTTAGATAGTGCTTGTCTTAACGTAGCAGCCTTTAGAGAGTGTTGATACTATTTTTGAACAGTGTTTGTCTTATTGTAGCATCCTTTAAAAAATATTAAGAGTATTTTTATACAGTGTTTGTCTTATTGTAGCAGCCTTTAAAAAATATTAAAAGTATTTTTATACAGTGTTTGTCTTATTGTAGCAGCCTTTAAAAATAATAAGATTATTTTTATACAGTGTTTGTCTTATTGTAGCAGCCTTTAAAAAATATTAAAACTATTTTTATACACTGCTTGGCTTAATATAGTAGCCTCAACAAGAACTGAGACAACCTATGAGCAGCGCTTGTCTTAATTTAGCAGCCTTCGAGGATGTTAAAACATTACAGTCTTAGTTTAGCTATGTTGTATGTTAGTCATTACACCTGGATCGTGTTAACGTATGTTTTTAACTCTGTTGGTTTAAGTCTTTATATAATCTGAGTTTTAGAATGCTTAAGATCTCGTCATTTTGGGTTCTTGTGATTATTTGAAGTTGCTGAAGGCTGAACAGCGGCCAGACTTAATCAAATAAGTTCTGCCATTTTAATGCCACGTATTGGTTTAATGTCATATAAGGTGTGTGTCGCATTAGTTTGTGTTATATAAGGTGTGTTCGCATTTCAGAATACCAGTTTTCCTAACTATGGAATGGAAATAAGTCTATCTTTTCGTGAAACTAAATTTCTAGATTCAACTATTGCAATGATAATGAGCTAGTTGTCTTCAAAACATTTCTTCAAGGCTTGTAAAATATGTCATGTGTTTCAGGTTTAACTTTTAGTTTATTCAAAGTGTTTGAAAAAGAACAGATACGTTACTCTATATTTAAACCGATGAATAAGATAAAGAAATTAGCACTTTTTCATCTTCAAATTGGTTACCTCTAAGTTTTTCTTATGACAGCAATATAGGTACGTATTGATTACTACAAGCTCCAAATTGCCACTGATTAATAAAAGGGATGAAATAGCCACGTTTACTACTTGATCTTTAACAGAGTAAAACATACATAATCAATTTGGATTAAGGGGTGTTTGACAAGTTGTTTGTAAAACACCCCTTTACCGTATCTAATAATTAGAATTTTCAGAAAGTTATCAAACATTTTGACAATCTCGAGCCATTAATCCTGCCCTGTCCGTTTGAAAATGTTGACAAAGATAAGTTATTAGATTGCATATTAATTAGTTGAGGTGATATCCTCGAGCCAAAATCAAAGCTTCCTTCAAAGGATGTAATATGCCTCCACGTGGACGGTACCCCCAATAGGGCTCCCTGGTGCCTCGGAAAGTAAAGGGTCGGCGGTTGTAATAGTTGAAACATGAACGTGGATTATCCCGGCAGAAATCTCGGCCCAAAGCCTTGACGTAGCCGTAACCCTTCTCAGTGAATTTTTTATTATTGAACCCGTATTTCAGTCCGTATCCATGAGTGAAAATCTCCCAGGGGCCCTTTCCATATTGGCCTGGAGGGTCGAACAGCGCTCGTTTATCGTATATAAGCACTGACAACTTCGGAGTAGATGGGCGGTAGTTTTCGTAGCCAGAAGCAGGATTAACGTTTAGTTCCGCCTGTGACGTCATCAAACAGCCCAGAACAGGAAGAAACTGTTGACAGGGGAATAACAAGAGAAAGCTACCTAAAGTCACGCAACAAGCATATTATATAATCTAGTAGTCTGAAAGTTAAAATTATCAATAAATAACACACAATGTTAAAATCGATACACTAATGTGGTAATAATGGTATTACCTTAAAACCGAGTTATGATAAAATAAAAAAAAGGAATGTTTAGTGTTGCCATATATTCCACGTTTAACTTTTAGTTTATTCAAAGTGTTTAAAAACAAAAAAATATTTTACATTTAAACCGATGAATAAGATAAAACAAATTTTAGGTAATACTAAAAATGATATACAATTAATGGAAAAAGTTGGAATTTATAAATTGAATGTGAATGTGAAGTATTTAGAGACAAACAAAACGTAATTTATAATATCGTTTAGTAGAACATAAAGGACGTGTAAAAAATGAAAGGACCGAAAATTCGGCTATAGCAGAACATGTACACAAAACACAACATAAGATATTATGGGGAAAACTGTGATATTGGCCCAACCAAATTGGTATTGAATTTATTAGTTTGTAATTTAGTACAAAGCTACACAATGGGCTATCTGTGCTCTGCCCACCACGGGTATCGAATCCCGGTTTCTAGCGTTGAAAGTCCGTAGACATACCGCTGTGCCACTGGGGGGTTAGCGTATTGGAGCTAATAAAATTCATGAATTATTGAATAGAGAAGAAGGTTTGGCGAGTATCTGTGTAAGAATGTAGCGGGACCTCCTCTGAGATTTATGCAGAAATGTAAACTTACACACAGGTCACATGATCTAGTTAAGTAGAAATAAAAATGACACTAAAGTCTTGCAAGTTCATTCGTGAAGATCACGTGATAAACGTTGAAACATGTAGAGTCCATATTTTAGAAACGTTTTTAATTGTCTATCGATTTTAACGTTGTGTGTTTTTTACTTATTATTTTAATGTTGTGTGTTATTTATTTATTATTTTAACATTATACACAAGTGCCAAGAAAATAATAATGTCTGAAAGATAATCTGATTTTATTTACATTTAAAGATAATGATAACATTTTTCAATTTTTACAGAATAGAGTAACATTACGTGTACATTATTTTCAAATTTTTTGAAGGAGGAAAAAAATAACATCAGACGCACCCAGGATTTAACCAACAAACCCTAATATGACCAATAGCAATTATTTTATCTTTTTTAAACGGACTACAGGCTGCCTTAATAGAAACGATCCTATCTGCCTTGTTACGAATGATATTGTAGAAATAGGACTGTTCAGTGTGAAAGGGAATGTTACTGTCTGTCTTTACAAGAATAATACTATCTACCTTAAATGGGTTCGGCATGGGCAAGTGGTTAGACTCGCAATCTGAGAGTCGCGGGTTCGAATCCCCTCCCACCAAACATGCTCGCCATTTCAGTCGTGGGGGCGTTATAAAGTGACGGTCAATCCCATTATTCGTTGGTAAAAAAGAGTAGCCCAAGAGTTGGCGGTGAGTGGTGATGACTAGCTGCCTTCCCTCTAGTATTACACTGTTAAATTAGGGAAGGAGCGCAGATAGCTCGTGCGTAGCTTTGCGCGAAATTAAAAACAAACTATCTACCTTAACAAGGTTAACGCGGAGACAATATTTCGACATTTCTTCGTTCGTCCTCATTTGGTATGTCAAAGCAGACTGTACGTTAAAAAATACAAGTCATGAAACGTTTACTAACAACGCCTTAATTCAGTGGTTAAACTATGATCAGTAGTAAGGTTTCTAAAATAATTTCATATGACGTTTAGAGCGTAATAATGCAGTCTGTTACATAATTCCATATGACGTTTAGAGTGTAATAATGCAATCTGTTATATAATTCCATATGACGTTTAGAGTGCAATAATGCAGTCTGTTATATAATTCTATATGAAGTTTAGAACGTAATAATGCAGTCTGTTATATAATTCTATATGACGTTTAGAGCGTAATAATGCAGTCTGTTATACAATTCCATATGACGTTTAGAGTGCAATAATGCAGTCTGTTATACAATTCCATATGACGTTTAGAGTGCAATAATGCAGTCTGTTATATAATTCTATATGACGTTTAGAACGTAATAATGCAGTCTGTTAGATAATTCTATATGACGTTTAGAACGTAATAATGCAGTCTGTTATATAATTTTATATGACGTTTAGAGCGTAATAATGCAGTCTGTTATATAATTTTATATGACGTTTAGAACGTAATAATGCAGTCTGTTATATCCATTGCGTCGTTGCGGAAACTAGTCGAATCTCACATGGTGCCAATTTTTCCTTCTTCAAAAAATTTCAACACTGATACTTTCGACAGAAAAGTCGATACTTGGTGTGTGAAACAAATATTCAATCTATAATCGTGGTAATAAAAAAACATAATTATTTTAGTATTTCGTGCATCTTAGCCCTGTATAGCGATTCAATAGATAAAAAAAGAAAAATCTTCCAAAGCTAAAAGTAAAGAACGCGCGGAGTTAACAAATAAATATCGAACAACTTAACGTGTAATTAATGTTTAGTTGATCAATGTTGTTGTTGTTAAGCATAAAACTACGCAAAGGGCTATCTGTGCTCTTGCCGCCACGGGTATCTAAACCCGGTTTCTAGAGATAAGTCCGCAGATATATCGCTGTGTCACTAGGGGCAGTTAATCAATGAGGTTTTTAAATTTAACTGTTATTTTGTATACGTTTTCGTAGAGTTATATCAGATAACAGCTTTTAATGTTGTGTTACAAATCAATACTAGAAATTCGAATTTGAACTTACCACAACAAACTTAAAATACGACATTACAGCGGAGCCAGAAAACGCTTCGTCTTTCCACCAGAAAAACAAACACAGGAACCCGAAAAGTCGAACAGGGTTCTCTATCTCCTCATAGCAATCCATACACAGGCTTCCTTACTCAGTTGGTTCCGGTAGTGGAGACGACATCGCCGCTAGCCACCTTTTCTTGCTTTAAACCTACTTTCACTTCTACGTAACAGAAATATTTGGTATCACTTTGATTGAATTGTTATCATTAAATATTGAAATAATGTTTACCCCAGGCAGCCTCGCGATTAGGTCGGAATTTCCATAATCACACTTTCCGCATACTGAACTAGTTGTTTTGTTTAGTATCGTAATCAATGTCACAAGCACGTGTTTGTCGCAGCATTGTGATAAGCTGAATGACCATAAGTCTGGTTTCTGTTTCCAAGCCAACTCCTATGTGTTTTATAATCCACTATAATATATAGTTGTGTATCAGTATCAAGTTTCCTGAAACGATTTCTAAACTTAGAATTGTTTTGCATAAACATTTAAAAATTGATTGTAAGTGTAGTTTACTGAGAATTTCACCAAAAATTTTCGGAAGTTTTCATTAATTTTGCTTTTAAATTTAGATTTTCGTGTCGTGGAAACGATTTAACTGCTTTATTTTATTTTTTTTCTGTCGTTTGTGATATTCTCACGTTGTGTCAATGGTTTAAGAAGAAAAATACTTAAACCGTTATAAATTACTCTTTTTGTTTTGAAATCGGAGTAAAGCTTGCCTTATGGACGTTAAACATACTGCACGTAAACAATGCACTGACTACCTAATTAATTTGCACTTATTAGTCTGCCAACACGTCTGTTAGAGTTCTGAGTCAAACCTCTGAACATTGAAAGCCAATGTTTTGTACTTGTATTACTTGAGTGTGCAAATTTTATGTAACAAAGTTTCTTTTTTTTTCGTGAAAAGCAACATGCGCATGTGCAATATCAAATCATCTACGAGCAGACTAATTACCCATGTTGTTGCTACGTTCAGTTATTATATTTTTTATGTTATACTGAATAAAAAATAATGTACGTGTAGTAGCGGGCTGTACTGCATATTTTCTGTTCCATTTAGTTTGTTTGTGTGTTGTTAATTATAATGAAAAATCTGTGCGCTACCCACCGCCAGTATCGAATCCTGATTTTTAGTACTATAAGCCCTCATACTTACCGCTGAGCCAGCGGGGGTAACTACTTTTCACATGTATATCACAGATATCTTAGTTTTCATTTCAAGTGCAACAACTACAAGTTTAACAAAACGTTGGTACATAAATGGATTAATCTTATGACAGAATCCGACATATTTCTGATGTGATAATATATTAAAATGTTAAATTACAGATATGCTTATTATAACTAAGGAAAAGTTCATATTTTCTTTTTATTTTGTGATTCAATTTATATCGTACATCGCACTATCTGCACTGTGTCCACCGTAGGTGTTAAATCCAGATTTTTAGCGTTATACGCCTTCGAATTTACCGCCGAGCCACTGGTGGACAAAATCTAGACAAGATAAATATAGTTTAACTACTATGTGTGACTAATTTTGTAGTCATATTCATTCATTTTTGACACTGCTAAAAAAGACCATATTTTATTTATTTTTATACTAGCAAAAACTCTATAAAGGACAATGTTAGATAATGCTCCCTTCCTTTTTTCTTTTGTTATTGAATTCCTAATGACCTCATTAGATGCCAATTGCTTTGTATAAGGTAATAATTTACTCACTTGACTGATTAAGTACTTGTGTCTTTAAAAATTCAAATCGAAAAGTCTATTTAAGAAAAAGTAGGAATATGTTCTATTGAGAAGGTGTTGTTTTTTTTATCCCCCTTCTCCAACAAAAATCCTGAAATAAAGTAACCAATGTACACAGTTTCCGGTTACCATATTAAAAATTGCGACACTTGAGTCAACAACTCTAGATGATGGGTGGTAGCACACACACATACACACAAACTACTGCTTCAAGTAAAAATGGTCTTAACTTGTGATATGTTGTACTGAAAATCATTACGTGAAACAGGGGTTTACAGATTCTAATATATATTACTTGCTAAATATGCAAAGTTAAATATTCTCCCTGGGTTCGATAGCAAACTAAATTCTCAGCTTTACAAACATGGATATGTCTAGACATCAGGGTTTAGAAAAATGCTGAAGAGAAACGTTTCTTGAGACTCTGACTCTGGAATTTCCTGAGAAAACCTAAATCAGAAAAGATAAAGATATCCTTCGTAAAAACTTATGTTTAGATATGTGGAAATTCTATGTTTATTTCTTATCTAAAGCTAATGACTTGTGCCCGGCATGGCCAGGTGGTTAGGGCGCTCGACTCACAATCCGCGGGTTCGAATCCCCGTCACACCAAACATGCTCGCCCTTTCAGCCGTGGGGGCATTATAATGTGACGGTCAATCTCACTATTCGTTGGTAAAAGAGTAGCCCAAGAGTTGGCGGTGGGTGGTGATCACTAGCTGCCTTCCCTCTTGTCTTACACTGCTAAATTAGGGACGGCGAGCGCAGATAGCCCTTGTGTAGCTTTGCGCAAAATTCAAATACAAACAAGCTAATGACTTGAAAAAATAGCAACGGAAAACAAACAGCAGTAAAAGAGTTTCTAAAATTTCATCAAAGTTGATGTTGTCTCTCGATAGAACAGCGGTAAGTTTACGGAATAATAAAGCAAAATTTCGGGGTTAGATTCCCCGCGGTGGACGCAGCAGGTAGTCCAATGTGGCTTTGCTCTAAAACAAACAAACAAATAGTTGAATGTTTTTTCTTTGAGTCCGTGTGATCGAGTTGATAAGTGTCGTTTAAAACATCAATCCGTAATAACGTACTTTTTACTCAATTGGAGAATATAAAAAGCTAATGTTGGAAAGATTTTTGTCATAAGAATGTTTCATTAAAGCATGTACATGGGTTTTGATCTAAACGTATTTATCTATCTACCCACATGTATATTTATTGTTTACCTCAGCCACCGAAGGTGACGGAGGTTATGTTTCTCCCCTGTCTGCAAGATTTCTTGGAAACGGCTGAACTGATTTGGATTAAAGTTGGTATACATTTGGACTATGACCCAGGTTAGAAATAATTAGCTTTTGGAGAGTTAAGGTCACAGCAAAGTCACGAAAATAAAAAATCCCTATCTGTTAACATGGGGACCAATTTTTTACACTATTTTTGCTCTATAACTCAGTCAAAAATGATTGGACTTTGATGAAACTTAGTGGACATATGTAGAATATTATTCCTCATTGTTCTGTCAAAAATGGTCCGTGTCCGTTGATAACGAAGGGCATATGGACACATTTTGGTATTTTTTGAGAACCGAATATGATCAACGCTGCGTAGCAGAGGTATGCGCTTTACTGAGTGCCCCTCTGGTTCTAACATGTATTTGTAACTAATGCAAAATTTTTCCACATTACATTGTAACAAATACAAATATAAATGGGTCGAACGTGGCTCATTAGTTAGAGTGCCGGACTATGGATCTGCTGGCCCATCATTTGCGTCCTGTTACCGCAAACAATAACATAAAATAAAAAATGGCGTCTCACATTTTGGAGTCGTTGGTGCGTTATAAAAGTAAAGATCAAATCTCACAAATCGTTCATGCAAAAGAGGCCAAAGAGTTGGTAGTGGGTATGTTGACCACCTGCCTTCCCTATTGTCTATCAGTTCAAAATTAGCTCTTGAGATAGCCCTTGAGTAGCTTTGCGTGAATTTCCGAAAACATGCATACAAACAAATAAACATGAAAATTCTTTGTAAAAGTAATGTATATGTAAACACTACCATTTACACCGATCAAAGTGTCGTAGAGGTTTAATAAAGTCTGAGATAATACTGTGCCAAACGATTATTTCCAAATAACAAAGCAAAAAATTAACTGCATTTTCTAGCTTATATACAAAAATCGTTACTTCATCCACACCTTCTTTGCTTTTATGCATTTTTCTTTAACGATTTGAAATACCTAATACAGGATTATTTACAATAATAAAAAATAAGATGTAAAGCAATGGTAATTGACTGAAAAATAAATTTTGCACCAGAACAAAAGCTTCATAAAAGACAAATTGTGTACCAAAGCAATGGTAAAAACTAAAGCAAATCTTTAAATAAAAGGCGGTTGATGAAAGTCTAAAAAGTTAGATTTGTAAAAGTACTGTTAGAATTCTCATAAGATATTTTTAAAGGAATAGTAAAAAACTGAAAGCGAATCTTTGCATAAGAACAGTTGTGAGGAAATAAAGAAAGTGAAGACTTTTACTAAACCAATGGAAAAATTCAGCAAATGATACAAGGAATGTTATAAACAAAATATAAATACATATTATGTTGGTTTGTTTTGTATTTGTTTTAAAATGTTTATAGGCAAAGGTTATGGAACTTTAGATACACTAGCAAAAATTTAATGAATGAATAAAAATAAACCCAATCTACATGTTTTCATGCAAAAGCAGCTGAATAAAAGAGGGTTACAGTTTGGGTTGGAATCATCAGCAAGTTAGTCACTGGACCTCGTGTCTTTGAAGATTCCACAAAAGCGTAAAAACTTCTTGTAGTGGAAACTGTGGTGCAGAGTAATAATCCATAACTACGGCCGTCGTTGAAGGAATAAGAGGCTTTAAGGCCTAGGCACTTATCCTTATATCCCACAGTAGATTATGAACACACCATCCGTAGTTTATCGAAACTTGTGATATATTAGAGTAGACATTCCATTGAACAAGTAAAAGTATTTTCGTATTATTATGTTTAGTGCATTATAAAACGAATATAACACACGTTATTTGGTTGGTCTCAAAAGGAAAAGATAATTTTATTTCACTGTTACCTGGTGGTCACTTTTATTACCCACGTTGTATTAAAAGTGCTCCCCAGTGGCACAGCGGTATGTCTGTGGACATACAACGCTAGAAACCGGTGGGCAGAGCACAGATAGCCCATTGTATAGCTTTGTGCTTAATTCCAAACAAAACAAAATAAAAGTATCAAAAGAATATATATAATATGACTTCGAAAAAAGAACTTACAATAAATTTGAAGGTTTCCGCAAGATTCTGACCCACCACGGAACCTTCACTGTATCAGCGGTAAGTTTACAGACTTGAAATGCTAAAATC